ACACTGAGTTCCAAACAGCCGCGTTACCAAGTGGTAAAATCAACAATAAACGGGTGAGGATATTATTTTCCATGTAGGTTTCCTAGTCTTGCTGAAATTGCTTTTAATATTTTCTTTTGACTGGAATTGCTTAATGCTTTGGATCCATATGAAATGGCATATGAAGTAATTAAAAACCCAACAAATCCAACAATAACAAACCCCCACACAACCAGCCTGAGGTATGAGTGCTGAATCTTTCTGTTACACTGATGGTATTTTAGCACTGGTGTGAACACCAGTAAATGTTGATAGCTTAGAGCCAAGGATGGAACAGTTATTAAATGGAAATAGGGTACAGATTCACCTTGGTTATTAAATATCACCTTAACTATTGCGTGTTATGGATCCGTAGCTAATTCAAAAACTGTTTTCACCAGATCATTGCCATTCTTTCCCTGACTTAAAAATGCTTGCCTGCAGTTGTGCTGCTCCACCAACAGATGATGCTCACGGTTCAGTGCTGAGAATGTGCGTGCTCACCCTAGCAGGAGGCTGTGCTGGGCATTTGGGAAGCAGTTCTGCAGTTTGGTTGGCACAAATAATCCACTTTGCCCTGTGAAGTCATGTGGGTTCTCTCCTGCTGTGCTTCTGGTAACTGGAGAGCAGGCTTGCAGGGGAAAAGTGAATAAAACTTTGTGGTTTCCATACTTAAAAGTTGGCATCTGGTAGGTGTGCATTGTCCCTAGTGGGATGGGAATATCCACAGTAAAAAAAGTGTTTGATTTTGAAGGTACAGTGGTACCTGTGATGTGTCTCCATTTCACTTGTGGACCAGATTGTGAAGCTTTGGACTAGTCCCTGAAGTAGCCCTGTGTGTCCCAGGTGCCTTTCAGTGCTGCAGGATGGGAGTGAAGACACTCAGAGTGTTTGGATCTGTATCCAGATCAGCCTGGCACCCCTTGGGCTGTGCTGGGCTGGCAGCTGGTGCTCCTCCCCTTTGCAAGCTGTCAGAGCAGCAGCCCTGAGCGAGTGCACCCATTAGTGTGTGGATGGGCATCAAGTCAAGAATTTTTTGACCATGCTTATATAAAGTTTAGCTTATGGGTGCTTTGAAAGTAATGGATGTTTATGAACTTGATTTTTATAGCAGCAGCTTGTTTGTAGTGTCAGTTCAGTGTCTGTTAATAGACTTGGATTTTAATTTTTGCAAATGCCTTAAATAGGAAATGTATTGTGATGTGTTCTTGTGGTGTTTCAGGCCTGACTTGTGTTATAAAGAATTATCAAAACTTCAAAAGAGTAGGAAAGGAAAGTGGCACATAGCCTTTTTCAACTTCACAGGTATTGTTCATTTTTGGTTGTCATTTACACAAAGTTCATGTTCTCACCTCCTGTTAGTACTCTGGATGTTCGTCTGCTCTCTGAAGTATTTTTTAATTAAGTCTTTTCCTGCTGTGACCTCAGCACTGCACGTTGCAACTAGGCATGGATGAACTAACAATCTTCCCTCCTAAAAGCAGTGTTCCTCTATGGAAACACTGATTTCAGTCTCCTCCTGTGGGGAAGCTGAAGTGGAAGCTGTGTGTTCCCAGTAATGAGTCAGAGCTTCTGATCTCTCTTAGCTTTGACCTGACTCCATCCTGTTGCTTTGAATCTTTGTTCTTGACACTTTACAGGATGGCTACTGCTAAAATTCAAGGTTGAAGTTACCTATCACTCAGAGCCAGCTTGCCAAGGTAAAGGCAGTAAGTTTGGGTTAGATTTTCCTTGCAAGGTTTGTTTGCCTGCTGCAAGGTACAGTTTTTCTTTCTGTGCTTATCACTTCAGAGGTTGATGTGTCTCTTGGGCAGGGAGGGATAATGTGGTTCTTAATCCATCCCAACCCTTGCTCCTTTCCTTTTGTGAGTAAGAGACTGAAGTGTAGGGGAAAATACTTTTGAAATGAAGTCTAAAAAAAAGAGTCTGGCAGCAATGATTTGCAGTGAGTAAAGCTGTAATGTGGTGTTACATCACTACTCTGAATTTAATTCAAGCCTTAATATGTAAAAAGGAGGAGTGGTTTACAAAAATGTACATAGATGAGAGTGACTTAATCTCTCTTCATGACTTCAAGTTTGCATTAAGTTAGTAGTCCTGTAGAGGAATACAGGACTGGAACTATTTACAGCCTCCTGTAAGCTCTTACTGAGTCCTGCTGGGTCTGTTTGCAGGAACAGGGGTTTCAGATCATACTAACCTGTACTAATTTTTATAGGACAGCTATATCTGTGTATTCAAATGCAAAAGCCCTGAAGTGTTGTCCAGTTCCTGTTCCACCTCAGAACTTTTCACTTTCTGGAGGGTGTTTTAAAACAGCAGTGCTGACTGGAACAAAGTCTGGTGGGTGCTGTCACCTGGGCTGCAGTGAGCAAACCTTCCCTGAGTTTGACCTTTGAAAGGAGATCCCCTTTTCTCCTGCATTTCCTCTGCCTGGTGTTTATTTTCTGACCTGGTCACACTGCTGTTGGTTTCTTTCTTCTTACTAAGTGTCAGGTTATGGCTAGGACTTTTCCTTTGGCTGGAGAAAAAGGGATGGGGAAAGTGCAAATAATGTTTCTGTTCAAGTCTTGAGCATCATCCATGAGACATTTGCCTGTGGGGAGAGGAAATAAATACATGAATGTAGCTATTTTGGATGACCATTCTTTCCCTTCAGAACTGTCAGCAAATCCACTATTTTCCAAGGTTTCTAAGTTATGTGGGAGGTTTCCAGGAATGTGGAACACAAACAGATGTGGTTGATCTCCCATGACAAAAATCTACACGTATTCAATTTATTCAGCACAGCTCAGGATGGGAATCTGATGATGGATAGATTGTGCTGACCCTGCATGTTTTGATGTCAGATGAATCAGGAGGAAGAAACCTACTTACAGGAAGGTTGTGTTTCACTGCCTATTTATTGTTCCAGAGATTTCTGTACTTTTTCCCTGCCTTAATTTGCTTTTCTGTGTTGAATGCTGCAGAAGCAGGAGCAAGGGCATGGTTTTGGGGGTGGCTTCCAAGCACTTGCACAAAATGCACCACAAAATTAGTCTGAGGAGTCTGGGAGGAGCTTAGGTTACTTCCCTGTGACAGGTTATCTGTAAATACTTGCACAGACAAAGCTTTTGGACTTCAACTGACCAGTCCAGTTACTGGCTCTGGTGGGGTAATCTTGGCTGTATTATGTATCTGGAATTTATTTATCAGAATCCTTTCTCACTCAGAAAAGTTCACTGAATAAGTGAAGCTCTGTATGCTGTAAAAGCAGGGGTCTGTCAACAAATTCTGGATGCTCTGTGTTTTGGGGGCCTCTGATGCCTTCCTCATCTTCGCAGGCTTTTTCAACAACCTTTTTGTACTCTTTTTTTCCTTTATTAGTTTTATGCTTAAATTGTGTAACAGCTCTTGCTCTCCCCACCATGAAGTGTTAACTCCTTGCTTGTTTGTCTTTAGCCCATCAGATCCTGAGTTATGAGCTACTCCCTTATTAGTTTGGAACAAGTGTGCAATTAGGTAGCCTTGACCTCTGAACAAATGGATTCCTTCTGCTCCTCTTTGAATGTCATTCTCCATGCCAGACTCCAGTTTGCCCTGTGACAGCTTCCAGCCTGCACCCTGCTCAGCCAGCTCACTGGAACTGGAGCCTCTTCCATGTGCTGGATCTGTCAGATCTGTAGGGCCTGTCCAGCAGCAGCTCCCTGCATGCACAAACAAACACCCTTGAACTGCACCTCTGCACTCCAGCTCAGCCTGTCCTCCTCTTTGTATTAGTGCAAGCAGCAGTCCAGGCTGCTTGCCCAGACACTGCCACTCAACCACAAACCCAGCCAGTTTGCCCTGAACTTGCATGATTTGCTAGAGGTGTGTGCATGCAGGGCTGGAATTGCTCTTGGAACTTTCCTTTCTCACTGCTGCACTGATATTTGCAATTGCTTCTTAGCGTTCTAGTGCAAAAGATGTTTTGGTTTTGCCTTCTACTGATACCTTTTTAGTAGGGATGCAAAGTCTTCTAAAGAAAATCCAGATTGTAAGTGGATTATAGTGAATATTGTTCCTCAGCTCTACCTGTTGGTGGAAAACTTTACAGGCTCTTTTAAATGCAGGCTGCAGTGCTGGGTGCAGCTGAGCTGGAACTGATCAAGGGACTGTGTGGAAGGAAGAGCTGGCAAAGGAAAGTCAGTGTTGCTTTGGAGAGCTGTGCTGGGTCACTGCCTCTGCTGGAGGCTTCTGTGGTAAAGTCGGTCATTTTTGGGGGATTCAGTGAGAATTTGGGGCAGTGACTACAAAAGGGTTTGTTTTGGTGCTCACCCCAAGCTGTTCTGCTCCTCTCAGCTGCAGAGAGGATTGTGCTGCTTTTGCAGCCAAGGTGGAATCAGAGCAGTTCAGTGCAGTGTATTGGGTGTATTTGTAAAACATACTAAAATTTAAGGGTCTCAGTGATAGAAAATCTTGTGTAAGAGACAGAAGGACAAGTTTTACCCCCTGGGTATCTTGGGATGGAGAACAGTCCACAAACATGTAGGACCTCACTGAAAATCCACAGGTGGAGAGCTGGATTTGCTTTTCAACTCCCTTTCCTTACAGGCTTATGCTAACTCATGATATCTGTTACAGTGCTACTGGAGGTCAAAAATGGGAAGATTTCACTGTGCAGTGGATTTGGAGCTGTGTTCAGGGGGTAATTACCACTGTCAGCATTGTAATTCTTTATTAGAAGTTGATTTCCTGTGCAAATGCAAGACTGCAGAAAAAGCACCAACAAGCAAACCTGACGAAATGACAAAAAACCCAAACCCAAAGATTTCCTACTCCAGTTCTTCACTGCATCAATCTTGCCTGGATCAATAGTGCTTCAAGACTGGGGTCTTGGTGCAGCACTGCATGGTGGAGCATCACTATTAGTAATGTCAGGTATTAATGCCCAAATATATATTTTTTATTGCTTGGGGTTTTATTTTTCTCTGTTTATCCTATGTTAGCATTCTGTGCAGTAGCAAGGACATTGTTGTACATGTGTTTGTCTTACTGAAATGCTTTTTTGAATTTAAATACTCATGTCCTGTTTCTCCCTGCAGGACTGTCCTCTGTAGGCTCCCAAGCAGTAGAACAGGCAGGAAATAATTAATCTCTGGGTCAGGATGTAGCAATTTAATTTGTAAGACTAACAAAGTTTACAGGGATTGCATTACAGAAGAATGCTTTTGCTCAGTTTTCTGAACAGCTTTCTGTTCAATGTTCATACATTTAATTTTGGTGTGTGTCATATGTCACATTCAATAACATTGAATAGAGAAAATATTTTCAAGGCAATGCTTCCCATGCAAAACACATGGCCTTTTGTTGGGAAAGAACCCCTGATGCTGCAATCAGATCATTGCACCTCCTTTGTACAAAATCATTGGAAAGACTTGGAGTGGGAGGGGACAGGCACTCAGGAAGTGTCAGGATGATTTGTTGGAAGATGTCCAGGCAGTGACTGAAACAGGGATCCTTCTCCTGCACCGTGTCCTGGTTTTCCCATGCCTCCCAAAGCAGCCAGCACATTCTCAGGGGCAGGGCTGTGGTTTCAGGCCAGGGGTGCACCTAGAGGGGGCGAGATGCAACCTTAAGTTGACGCAGCACGATGGTGGTGGCCAGGAGCTGGAGGAGCAGGAGACAGAGGCCTGCCAAGGGGAGCCAGAGGAAGACAAGACAGAAGGAATCCAGGTCTTTCTGCACTCTGCTGTCTGCAGGAATAGAGAAGAGGGAAGGTCCACGGGTGCTCACTGCAGGTGTTACAGCCAGGTCTGCTGGAGCCAAGGGGGCTGCCCAGGGCCCTGCTTGGTCTTTTCCCTCCCCCAGTTCCTGGTGTCCCCAGGCATGGGATATACTCATGATTTTTACATCTTATTTAGCCTTTCCTATGGGGGATGAAATGATGGAATTTAATCCTTCCAACTCTGCTAAAGCTGTATGGATTTTCACTCTCCCCCCATCCCAAAATATCTGTAGGGTCCCTCTTGGTATCAGTGGACAAGGGTCTCCTCCCCTCTCCCTCCCTGCATCCAGGCTACCTGGATCTGGTGTCTTCAGGTTGGAGTCCATTTCAGTGGTGTCACACTGGATGGTGGGCCCTGGTGTGCTGGGTGCCACTATGGTGGTGGCTATAAGTGAAAAGGATGAATTGAGCATGTAGGGAAATACAATGAAAGACATCTCTCCTGCCTTTCTGCTCTCCTGCCAGGGCACAGCTGATCCTGGGGACAGCAAAGGCCTCAGCTCTAGGGGAGCTTCATAGACCCCATTTTGGATGGGGACTCCCCAAGGAGGGTTTCCCAAGAGCCAAGAGTGAGCTGCAGCCTGCTTGTTCCTCACTTTCTGACACCATCCTCACAAAGCCTGAGCCCCCTGAGCTTGGGGGTATTTTGGGAGCTGTGTGTGCTGAGGAAGGAGGGGGAGGTGGTGGTGGACTTTGCTTGAATCCTCTCCCTTCAGAGCTATGGGTGGGGCTGGGGAAGTGGGGATGGGAGATGATGCCCAAGCATGTTTGCCTTTGGGCAGGAGCAGTGCCAGGAGGAGAGGTGGGAAGCAGGGAGGCTGTGGCAGGAGGAGCAGTGGGTTGGTTGCAGGATGCCTTGGTCAAGCAAGCAGGGAAATGGGGTTTGTGGGAGGGATGGCTGGTTCCAAAGGGCACAAGGGCAGGAGGTGCTGGGCATTTTGGCAGGGCTGGGTGAAGGTGTTGCTGACCTGGAAGGAAGGCACGCAGGCCAGGGCTGAAATGCAGCATTTGGATGAAATTCATCACACAGAAATAGCTCCCCTCATCCTGTGGTGTGAAAGATTTCACTGCCAACCGATAGATTGTGTTGTCTTTGCTCGCCTCAAAGCGTCTTGATGTTCTCTGACTCCTCTCAAATGTGGTCCGGGACAAGGCATTGATGAAGACAATGAAGTGAAGGGTCCCACTCCTGTCCTGGCGGATCCAGGATGCCCCATGGCTCTTGTCAGTGTGACACTCCAGCTCCAGCTTCTGTCCCACCTGGAGCTGGGTGATGTCCCTGGGAGACCTGAGCTTTATCTGCAGTGACTGGCCATAAATCCCAGGGCAGCCTGCAGGAGAGAAATCCTTGCTGGAACCACTTGGGTGGAGTCAAAGGGTTCTCTGAGGAAACCTCCCTCCCTCCCTTTCTATGGGGTGGTAGTACAAATGGAAAGGGAAGTCCTCACTGCCTGGATGACATGAAGGTTTTGTTGGAGTCCTTGCTGGGATGGTGCATGGAGGGTGATCAGCAATCAGCCAGCTGAGCTTGAAAGATGGGTGCTGCCCTTCCAGCACCTTCTCAGGGACGTTACACCTTCCCAGTTCTCTGAAGTAATAAGCTGTATAAGCTCCCTGTGAACACTAACTTTTAAACTCCCTTTTCCCCACCCTTCTTCCTCCCCTCTGGAACCAGTCATTGGATCCATCTCCCTTCCCAGCTCAGGTGCTTCTGCAGCCACCCCTCCAGCCGCCCTTTGCTGGCTGAGGTGGTTCTGCCTCTCCCCCCACAATTACTGAGCACACCTCAAGGTCAGCAGTTTTGGTCTGATTTTTTCCTTCCCTTTAACTAGTTAGTCCTATGTCTTGGATTCAGTGGAAGGGTTTTCCTTGCCCCTCCCAGTGAAGGGGCTACGCAGCCCCGTGTCCATACTCACAGAATCCCAGAGTGAGCAGCAGGAGCAGGGCAGGAGCCGTGTCCATCTTCTCCTGGCGTGTCTGTGCTCGGGGCTGGTGCAGGGCAGCTGAGATGGTTTTTCTCACTTGGCTTGGGAGGCTTTGTCACTCTTTTGGGAGGATGTGATGTCATCAGGACCCCAACACCAGGATGAATTCAGTTCCAGCTCAGAATCTGGGTCCCTTTATCCCTCATCATTTCTTAGAAGATTTTTTTCTGAATACTTTGCTAGAGATCCAGAGTGATGCTGCTCATGGCTGAGGTGGGGTCAGCCACCACAGCCTGCTGTTCCCTTCCCACAGCTTCTGTGCAGGAGACAGAACAGCCCCATGCTTTGGTGAAGACCCTAGAACGCTTTTCTTGGGGATCCTGCTTCCTCTTGAGCACATTCATGCAGTCCCGTGTGCATGGCAGAGCCCACAGTGACACAGGTGTTCCTGGTGTAGATCCATGTGTGTTGTCTGTCTCCAAGCACAGATTTCTGGCACACAGATGGGTACTGCTCTATTGTTGTCATTGCACGTTGTTCAGTTCTTCTTTGCTATTGCTCAGCAGAAGTCTTTTCATGAAAGGTAGTTGGTTTAGGAACTGGAACCTGTTGAGACTGCCCCTCGCACTAGGGAGTGTTTTTCCTTTTCTTTGTTTTTAAAACTCGTGGTTCTCTTCTTTAACCACAGGGTCTTATGCTCTTCAAAACCCTTTTATGGTTCACCAGAGAGGGCTCTTGCTGCTGCCACCAGGTGACCACTTGCAATGGGGATGGGTGGTGCTTCCTGGCCCTTTGCATGCATAGAAAGAATCATTTCAGCAGAGTGCAAGGGGCTGGGCTGGTGTTTGATTGAGTTCTTTCTTCTGGACTTTCCTGTTAATTGCTTTTCTGTGTGAGTTTGGGTTTTTTTTTTAATTACACCTCTGCAAAGAAGCTCTGTTTTTCCTTGTCTGTCAGAAGCCAGGTGCTGCTGAGTTTGATGCAGCTGCTGTTGGGGCTGCTGCTCAGAGCATGAGATGACCCAGCCATCTTCTCCTGGAGTGTCTGTCCTTGGGGACAGTGCAGCACAGCTGAGATGATCTCTGTCACTTGGCTTGGGAGGCTGTGCCACTCTTTGGGGGGATGTGATGTCATCAGAACCCTCTTGGGTAAAGGGACAATGCTTGGCCTCTGTGACAAAACGTTGAGGAAAAAAAGGTTTTCTGAAGAAATTAGTTTATAGTCCAGAATTTGTGATGTGCTTCTTCTTTGTTTTATCTGCTTGTGGTTCTTTTCTCTCACCATGGCTTCCTTCCGTCCTGCCCCAAGCCCACTGTGTGCTCAAGTGGCTCTTGCTGCTGCCTCTGGGTCACCACTGGTACTGGCTGATATTTCCTGGAGCTTTGCACACACAGGCTTTCCTGTTGATTGTCTTTCACTATAGGTTTTTTTGTTTAATTTCTTCCCTTTTTTACTAACCCTTTGTCAAGAAGCCTCTTGATTCCTGGCTCTGTCAGAACACAGGTTCTGCTGTTTGTGCTGCTACCGACAGCTGAGTTATGGAAAGTGGTTTAGGAACTGTGTTTATATCACTGGGCATCAAAATGTGTTGGTGTGGGGAAAGCTGCTGCTGGGGTGTGTGAGGGTCACTGGTGCTGTGTGAGCTGTGCCCTGCAGAGTGTGGGATGCAGGATCAGTGTGCAGATGTGTTGAGGGAGGCAGGAGCCATCCCAGAGCCTCCCGTGTTTGGCACTGGGCTTAGAAGTGATCAGGTGTGTTCTGAAATAACAAACAACCCCTCTGAAACAAATAAAAATTCCCAGAGCAAACAGATCCTGCTTGTATTTCTTCATCTGTTGCAAGAGGATGTGGGTGTGGGGTCAGTACCAGAGCAGGAGCTCAGTGCCCTTCTGCCTGGGCTGCAGGAACGCGGTGTGATGTGTAATGTGAAAAAGTGGATATGAGAAAATGAGCAAAGACCTAGAGCTTTTTGGCAGAAACACTTTGAGTTATAGCTTTTTAAGTGAAAATTTGTAGCTCACACTAATTCAATAAGAAATTAAGTTGATCTCACAGCCTCAATGTTGGGGCTTTTCTGCTGTTTTTATCTTCATAGTGTGTGTAGTTCTGTGGAGTTGCCATTCAGTATTTGCTTGCTATTGTTTAGATACGCTTATCTAGTCCTGAATTTTTTCTTTTTATTTTTTTTAAAATTCTTACAAACATGTCAGTTTGGAAGAACTTTGTTTTTCTTTTATTTTCTCTCCTTCCCATCTTGTTTACAGAGCAGGAGACTATCAAAGGGCTTCTTCCACTCTTTTTTTTTGCCAGGTTTTTATCAGCCCTGTGACAAGATTCCAGAGTACCCGCAGACTCTTTATCTCAGGCACCTTCTCGGCAGTTTCTGGGATGTGGGAGTGTCACTGGGCCCATCAGCAAATCCCTGGGAAGATACCTTTAGATGATATTAGGCTGCAGTAAGCTGGAAGCTGAAGTCTGCACCCTAATGCTCAGGATTATGTATTAATCACAGGCTTTTCCCTTACCCAAGACTTTTTCAACCCCTTGTTTATTATCTTCCTGAAGGATTTTAGCTTTTTTGAGACTAGGAACCAAAGAAAAAAAGAAATAATTATCATGAATCTGATTAGGATAATTTTATTTTATATCTCAGTTCTTAAATTGCAAGTATACTAAGGAAATATTTACATGAAATACAGATCTGAAAAAACAGAACTTACAGTAGTCCATAACATGTCCCCAGAATATCAACATGTTAAACATCCCGCTTAACAAAACCAATTTTTTTTAATTACTCAGGCATTTCCCTCAGAAAAAAAGCAAATCCCACTTTCTTAGGCCAAACTCCTGCAGAAATAGGTAGATCAGGGGTAGCAGCAGAACGAGGATAGTGTGAGTGGAGCAGTGAACCTTAGCCCCCAGGACTGTAAAAACCTCAAAAGTAAGACAATTAATCCATATTCAGCTTCTCAATGCAGTCTTGTATTCCATTACAAGAAACAATAAAAGCCCTAGGAGAGAGGCACCACAAGAACATGTGTTGAGTGAGGATAATTATTTCTAAGGCTTTGTGTAGCAAATTCCACCTCTGGCTGCATTTTGGGAGGAAATCACTCAGAGCCTTGAGCAAAGGTCCAGCTCATGTCCTCATTTCTCACCAGCATCTCACTGAGGTGTGTCAGCATCAGCACTGGCCTGGCTCTAGTGCCTGAGCCCTGTCCCTGGGAGCAGAGGTGGCCTTTGAGAGGAGCTCAGGGTTTGGAAGGAGCTGTGCTTTACCCTGCAGCTCCCAGGGAACTGCTGCTCCCTGTCCGTGTGTCTGTGCTCCCTCTCGTCTCCTCAAACCCGTCAGGGCAGAGTGGCTGAGGTGCACTGGCCTTGTGGATAATGCAGGAGATGGATTTCTGTGCTGACAGCTCCCAGGAGAAGATCCAGAAGCCAGGAGGAGCAGATGCTGATCCGTGTTAGTTTGGTGTCCTGGGTTTCGTGGGGGGCTTCCTGTTTGCAGGTCTGCAGGGAGAAGAGGGTTTGGTTTACTCACATGGGAGAGGAGCAAGAAGGCAATTAAGGCTCTTTGAGCCTTGGGCTGCAGCCAGGGACCTCCAAGAGGAGGCTGCAAATTGTTCCTAAATCCTCTTTGTGCAAGTGAAAGTTCTACCTCCATTTCAAGCAGTGAGAGATAACAGAAGGATATTCTCAAGATACACAATTCTTATATTAATTTAAAAATAAAGTGGGTTTTTTTTGGTTTTTTTTTTTTTTTTTTTACTTCTGCACACTCCCATCCTCTCGTTTAGCCTTTCTCTACATTCAGAAAAGAATGAAGAAGGAAGACCTAAGGGTTTGTGGGTTTTTTTTTGAGTTAAACAGGGTGTTATAATTTCAGAGATATTTTTTTCTTGTTGGAACATGTTGCCTGCAGAGACATTTGAAAGGAGGCTTTCCAAATAGCCAATGTGCACCTAACATTATAGAAATGACTGCTCTCCATCAACTGAGAGTTTTATGCTGATCTAATGAGTTGGGGATTTGGCACCCCTTTTCAGGGAAGATTAATTGGTGGTGGAAAATGAATCCTCCTGCTGCCAGCAAGGATGGCAGGCCAGATCCTGGGGTGCTTTGTAAGGGAGTGAATTGCACTGTTAACTTCCACAGAGCTTCCTTTCACTGAGCAGGAGCTGCTCAGAGCAGCAGGAATTTCCTCTCTAAATCAAAACTGAAATATGGTACAATAGCTAAAACCAGAGCTCTGTCAAGTTTAGGGCTGCTGAATGAGAGCCATCCTTGAGGAGATGATTTCCCGAGTCTCCACTGCATCAGGGCAAAGTGGGAGAGCTCTGCAGGGTGTTTTTCTCCCCACAGAGACAGAACATCCTTGCACAGAGCTGGCAACAGGGTTGAGATACGGGAAAAATGCAAACATTCTCCTAAACAAGGCTGCATGAAGTTCCTTATCATTTCTCCCCTGGAAAGGCAGACGAGGATCAGGAAAGCACTGGGTGTGCTTTCCTGTGAATATCCCCTAAATATCCCCTGTGAAAGTGACAGTCTGTTCCCTTTTACAGACAGTTTAAAAAAATACAGCCTGCCTTCAAAAGAAAAATAAAATTGTAGGGATCCATTTCCTACTAATGTTGGGGAGGGACTGTATGAATTTGGAGAACAAAATGGTAATTACGTCTTATACTAAAAACCCATGGATGTATAACAAGGAACAGGAATTTATCTGATTTAGAAGATGCTTTGATTAGCAAAGAATGAGGCTCCAGAGGTGTGAACATGCTGTTCCAAAGTTTCTTGGCAACCCAGCTGTTCCAAGCACTAGCCCAGCCCTGGCTGCCCTTGGGCAGTAGTGGGGATTTCTTGGTGTCTTTCTTGCCACAAGCCCCAGGGTGCACAAAACTTGCAGAGGTGGTTCCCTTCAGAGCAGGAGGAGTGAGCAAACCAGCTGCAGGGAGATCCATTTGCAGAAGCAAAATGTGTGTGGGCAAAAAGCATTTCCTCTCCCAAACCAGGAAATTCCAGTTCTCATTCTGATCGTGTTTTCCTGGTCACCCAGGGAGAGTTGGGGAGGGAAAGCATAAAGAAAAGGTTCCTGTATGCCCTAGAAACTGGGTTAGCCCTCAATCTATTCCTGTCTGCACTGGTGTTTCTCAGGAGAGCCCTGTGAGGTTCCAGCAGCCTCTCTGCTGCTGTTCCTGCTCCTCAGTGCCTGCTGGGGAAACAGAGGTCACTGGTGTTTCTCAGGAGAGCCCTGTGAGGTTCCAGCAGCTTCTCTGCTGCTGTTCCTCAGTGCCTGCTGGGGAAACAGAGGCAGGAAGCCTGGTGCTGCTGGCCCTGCATGGTGCAGAGGGGAATTTGGGGCGCAGGAACTTACATGTAAACCATGGGGACAACTAAACTGGCAGTAAAGAAATCAAATTAATGGTTTGGGGAGGGAAGGGATGAAATATGGTCACTCCCAGGCTCATGTTGGGAATGGTGCATTGGAAGCACAGAAATGTGGTTGGTTATGAGCACTGGGTGATGCACAAAGTTTTTGGGCTGCCACAAACACCTCCTGTCCTCCTGTTTTGTGTCTCCTGCTGGGTCAGAGCTCAATGATTTGAATGGCTTAATAGCTGTAAAACCAAACAAAAAGCCCAAACAGATAAAAAACCCCCAGACAAAACCAAAAACAGAGAACAGGAGAACCTTCTGTTCCATTTTTGGCCTTAAGTCATTGCTCAGGCTCCTCCCAACCATCTTCTATCAGATGAAGAATTTTTAGGTTGCTTTTTGGCACCTGCCTCCTTTATGTATTGAGGGTGAGATGTTGCCAAGTTGAAGAGGAAAGTGCCAGTCCCTGTCACTCACCTCTTACACCTGCATCTTCGTCTTCTGGTTTCTAAGAAAAGAGAGAAAATGTTTTAGTTCAAAGATGCCAAGTGACAGCTCAGGAAAGAAACACTCCAGTGAGGTAGGGCTGGTCCTCCCCTGCAGCTGATATCGTTAATAACAGATAAACTAAGCCTATTTTTGAGGAAATCCATGCCAGGGAGTGGTGCTTACCACTTGGGTTACCCCAATAATCCACTTAAATATTTCAATCAATTAATCTTTGAGGTGTGTAGCAGCAGCAGTGACAGCCTGGGAATACTGAGGGTAAATGATTTCTGTTTGTTGTGTCCAGTGACTTTGACACGTTGCTGAACATCCCTCAGCAGTAATAATTTCTGCAGCAGGTGAGTGGCAGTGATGCCACATCACAGGCACCCAAAGTAACAATGCTCTTGCCCATTTTAGCCTCTGTGTTGGTACTTTGGGGTAGATTCAGCCAAATGAAATGCCTAGCCATTAACTTTAGACTAAGGTAAAAATGTATCTTGAAGGATTTGGAAATTGGTGCATTAATTAACTGCAGCTAAGGGGTTTTCACTGACCATAATGTAATGAAGTTTCTCACAGCAGGTGAGTGGCAGTGATGCCACATCACAGGCACCCAAAGTAACAATGCTCTTGCCCATTTTAGCCTCTGTGTTGGTACTTTGAGGTAGATGAAGCAAAATAAAATACTGATCCATTAATTTTAGACTAAGGTAAAAATTCATTCTGAAGGGCTTGGAAATTGGTGCATAAATTAACTGAGCTGAGAGCTTTTCACTGACCATAATGTCATGAAGTTTCTGGTCTGGTTTGAGCTTGAGATGCTACTCCCAGCATTTGCTGGACCATATTTACTCTGTTAGGTCAGAATGTTTCAGGCCCTGGCACTTTAACCTCCGACACACCCATTTATGAGCCAAGACAGTTGGTAGAGTAAGTACTGTCTCTTTCTAATCTATTTTACTTCCTTGAAAGTTTTTTTCAACATAAATATTTTGCTGTGTGACTCTAAGTTGATAATTCTTTTTCATCCTAATCCTGCTGATGAGGATTAAAATACAGACACTGATATTAACAGTGGTCCTTGTCTTGCACTGGCTGTGTACTGGTTATCAGCTGCCTCCCAAAACTGCCAGAAGGTCCAACTCCCTGAGGGCAGGGCTGTGGGCTCAGGCCAGAGATGGATCTAGAGAGGGTTGTGGGGAGCCTTACGTCGACACAGCACGATGGTGATCACCAGGGCGATGAGGAGCAGGAGGAGGGCACCTGCCAAGGGGACCCAGATGAAGATGTGACAGAAGAAATTCAGATTTTCCTGCATTCTTTCCTCTGCTGGAAGAGAGAAGATGGAATGTCCACCGAGTGCTCAAGACAGCTCTGATTTCAGCATTTTTCTAGGGACTCGAGGGAGGATAGGTGGCAAAAGTTTTCTCATGTTTTCTGCTGAGGCTAAAAGCAGCCCCACCCCAAAGGCTCTCCTCTCCCTCCCCTATTCCTGGTGAGCCAGACATGCTCAAAATTTTTACATCATATTTAGCCTTTCTCAGGTTGAATGAAATACTGGAATTTAATCCTTAAAGATGCTCTGTGGATCTTCTCTCTCCCTCCCACTCCCAAAACGCCTGCAGGATCTCCCCTAGTATCAGTGGACCAGAGTCCAGCCCTTCTCCCTCCCTCTCTCCATTCAGGTTACCTGGATCTGGAGTCGTGAGGTCGGGGTCCTCAGTGATGCCACGCTGGGTGGTGGGTCCTGGTGTGCTGGGTGCCACTGTGGTGGTGACTACAGGTGAAATGGATGAATTGAGCATGTAGGGAAATACAATGAAAGACATCTCACCTGCCTTTCTGCTCTCTTACCCCTGCCAGGGCACAGGTGCTCTTTGGTTCAGCTCCTGGAGAACTTCCAGGAGCCAATTTTGGATGGAGTCTCCCCAAGGAGGGTTTCCCAAGAGCCAAGAGGGAGCTGCAGCCTGCTTGTTCCTCACTTTCTGACACCATCCTCACAAAGCCTGAGCCCCCTGAGCTTGGGGGTATTTTGGGAGCTGTGTGTGCTGAGGAAGGAGGGGGTGGTGGTGGACTTTGCTTGAACCCTCTCCCTTCAGAGCCATGGGTGGGGAAGTGGGGATGGGAGATGATGCCCAAGCATGTTTGCCTTTGGGCAGGAGCAGTGCCAGGAGGAGAGGTGGGAAGCAGGGAGGCTGTGGCAGGAGGAGCAGTGGGTTGGTTGCAGGATGCCTTGGTCAAGCAAGCAGGGAAATGGGGTTTGTGGGAGGGATGGCTGGTTCCAAAGGGCACAAGGGCAGGAGGTGCTGGGCATTTTGGCAGGGCTGAGTAAGGCTGGGTGAAGGTGTTGCTGACCTGGAAGGAAGGCACGCAGGCCAGGGCTGAAGTGCAGCATTTGGTTGAAATTCATCACGCAGAAATAGCTCCCCTCGTCCTGTGGTGTGAAAGATTTCACTGCCAACCGATAGATTGTGTTGTCTTTGCTCGCCTCAAAGCGTGTTGATCTCTGATTCTCCCCAAATGTGGCCCGGGACAAGGCATTGATGAAGACAATGAAGTGAAGGGTCCCACTCCTGTCCTGGCGGATCCAGGATGCCCCATGGCTCCTGTCAGTGTGACACTCCAGCTCCAGCTTCTGTCCCACCTGGAGCTGGGTGATGTCCCTGGGATACCTGAGCTTTATCTGCAGTGACTGGCCATAAATCCCAGGGCAGCCTGCAGGAGAGAAATCCTTGCTGGAACCACTTGGGTGGAGTCAAAGGCTTCCCTGAGGAAACCTCCCTCTCTATCTGTGGGCTGGAAGTAGAAATGGAAAGGGAAGTCCTCACTGCATACATGACATGAAGGTTTTCTTGGAGTCCTTGCTGGGATGGTGCATGGAGGGTGCTCAGCAATCAGCCAGCTAAGCTTGAAAAGTGGGTGCTGCCCTTCCAGCACCTTCTCAGGGACGTTACACCTTCCCAGCTTCTCTGAAGTGACTCCATTTGCACTTCTTCCACCCTTCTCCCTCCCCTCTGGAACCACTCATTGGATCAATCTCCCTTCCCAGAGCAGGTGGTGCTGCAGCCACCCCTCCAGCTGCCCTTTGCTGGCTGAGGTGATACCACCATTCCTTCCAAACTTACTGAGCACACCTCAAATTCAGCCTTTTTGGTTCACTTTTTACCCCCTTAGTTATTTATCCCAATGTCTTGGATTCAGTGGAAGGGTTTTCCTTGCCCCTCCCAGTGAAGGGGCTGCACAGCCCCCTGTCCATACTCACAGAATCCCAGAGTGAGCAGCAGGAGCAGGGCAGGAGCCATGTCCATCTTCTCCTGGCGTGTCTGTGCTTGGGGCTGGTGCAGGGCAGCTGAGATGGTTTTTCTCACTTGGCTTGGGAGGCTGTGTCACTCTTTTGGGAGGATGTGATGTCATCAGGACCCTCTTGGGTAAGGAGGTGATGCTCGGCATCTGCAGCGTAAGGAGGAAAAAAAGATTCCTGAAGAAATTAGTCTGTTTTCCAGAGTTTATATATCCTTATCAGCTCTTAATGGTGCCTCAATGCTTTTTCCTGGATGACTTCCCTGGAGATCCAGTGATGCTGCTCATGGCTGAGGTAGGATCAGCCACCACTGCTTGCTGTCCCCAGCCCTCTGGGGACCCACAGCAGCTCCAGCTCTGCAGAAGTTATGGATGAGTCCCATGCTTTCAATGCAGGCTGTACTTTGCTTTTCCTGGCAGGGATTCTACCTCCTCCTTAGCACACTCAAGGGGTCTCATGTGGATGGCAGAGCCCACATTGTTTTGTTCCCCAGCAAGTGAGACACAGGTGTTTCCTGGCATAGACACACAGATCATTTCTCTCCAAGCACACGTGCTGCTGGCACACAGCTGGGTTCTTCAGGTGCTTGATTGTTCTCTTTGCAATTCTTCTTTGTTTAATTCTTTGTTTAATTCTTTGCAATTGCAAATTCTCTTCGTGCAGGGCAGGTGGTCTGTGAGCAGAAACTTCATGTGAGTTCCCAATGTCCAGCATGTGCTTTGCTTTTTGTTTGTTTTACCAACTTGTGGCTCTCTTCTCTCACCACAAGTGTTTCCTCTCTGCCAAAAAAAACCCCTTGTGTGCCTCAATGGCCCTTGCTGCTGCCTCTAGATGACCACTGGCAGGTGGGGATGGGTGATGCTTCCTTGAGCTTTAAAAACACACAGTAACAACAATTTCACCAGCCTGTGAGGGGCTGGGCTGGTGTCTGATTTCTTTCTTTCTTCCTGGCTTTCCTGTTGAATTTTCTTTCTATATGTTGGGGTTTTTTTTCTTTTCCATTACCCCTCTGCAAAGAAAGCCCCATTTCCCTGGATCTGTCAGAAAGTAGGTGCTGCTGGGTTTGATGCCATTTCTGTTGGGGCTCAGAGCTGAATCACTGAAAACAGTTTAGGAACTGGGTTTATTTCTCTGGGCTTCAATGCATGTTGGTGAATGAAAAAATCTCATGTTAGGTCTGCTGAGATAAAATTCATGCTTTTGTTAGGCTGGGAGGCTTGCGATGTCTACCTTAAATAAAGCAAATAAAAGTAAAATGGAAATGAATGTGCTGGCCAATGAGGATGGGAGAAAAAATTCATCATTTCTAGGTGCTCACTCTGCTGTAGAGCGAGCACACAGTGCATGTCCTCAGAGGTGTGGTGGTGGATGTTCTGGGAGAACCTGTACAATTAAAGGATCATCCAGGAAGGGCTTCTGCCTTTCTTAATAGGGATATCTAATTTCCTTCTTGTCTGTGACAAATAGTAAATTTTATATGAATCAGCCCAGGGCACCAAACTGGTGCCCAGATATTCCTCTCCTCTGTGTGGAGGTGTCCTTGATCTCAGTCCTCTTTGCTCACAGACTGAGCTGATTTCCAGGCAAGGCCACCTTTTCCCCTGCTAATTAATATATCCTATAAAAGCAAGGCAAAATCTTATTGTCATTGGGAGATATGGCTGCAGGAGGGCTGGCACACATTTTTTTTATACGATTTCTGTGATAAAGTGTTGCATATACAAAGCTATTTCTGTTTTGCATAGTGACAAAGAAGAAAAAGTTGCAGGGACAATAATTTGATTAGGAAAAGCTCCAGAACACAAGTATGACCTCTAAGAAAAAGCTCTGATTTAAAATCAACACTTGTATAAATAATTTAGATTAGTTAATGTAAGTTTAATACTGATGACCAGCTCTAAAACCAGGGGGAGAAGGTGGTGAATCAGATTAATTAAGGAATCTCCTTGATTTTTCTATGTTCTGGTTTGCCTGTTTGTCCTCTGTACAGTATTTTAGGATAGGCTGTCATTTGACTGAGGACCTAAGCCGAATCCATGAACACTTGCATTGTGTTATTAGTAATTTAGTTAGTAATTGCTGTTGTAGTGTCACTGGTATGATATGACTAAGGAAGAAGAAAAAATACTCAGACAACCAGTTACTTGTGCAGGGCATCATATAAGAGAAGTCAGGAGACCAGACATGTTGATTAGAAAGCAGAAGTAAAGTCTTTTTTCTCCCAAGCCTACATATAAGTTTTATTTTACTCACACTAAGCTTACAGGACTCTGATTGCTGTTGAGCTCCAACCTAAGTTGCTTATGACTGAGGTTTATATTTATATACTAGGGCCAGCCTAGACCTCTATTTAATTGATGTCAAATAATTAGTGGAAGATAGGAGCAAGGAGACAAGAGACGAAATCATGCAGGGATGAGAAAAGTAACAAGGATTCACCTGTTTTTGATCAGGGCTTAGCAGGAGGTGAATTTAGGATTCATTTTCTCTGCTTTCTTACATCCATTTGACAGAGAAGGAATGGGAAACGAGAGGGAGCTGAGGCACCAGAACATTCTGAGTCTTGGGTGTGTTTGATTTCTCAGTCATTTTGTGGAAAGCTCTCAGGGGCTTTTTCATGGGGTAAGAAGCTCTTCAGTTTCTCAGTGTCAGCCACAGCAGACATGGCCTGGATGTGTCACAGTACTGGGTGGCTGGAGCTCCTCTGGGGACATGGGAGATGTGCTGCCATGGTCAGTGAACACTAAAGGAGCACCAGAATGACTGTGCCCTGACAGGTCCACTGTTCTGCTGCCCATGGTGTCTCCTGGTGCTCCAGAAGGACATCCCATTGCCAGGCAGAGATGCCACATTCCTGAGGATGAGCAGGTGCTGTTGGATCCCTGTGAGGGGTCAGTGATGCCAGCTGAGGGGTGACACCAGACTGTCTTTGCCACAGCACCGCTGACTATTCCTGTCCCTAAACCTTGCATTAAAATTTTCCATTCCATTTTCATAACCAAGAATGGAAAGTTTCAATTAAGACCTCAAAATTTAGTTGCAAATTACAAGCATTGTTTTTCGAACAGAGGGAAAAAATACCATGTTGAGGCTGTAGCATGCAGCTTTTCCGGTGTGAAGCTGTGGTTTGTGAGCCCCTTGCTGCCCCCCTTTTCTTTGCAAAGCTGCAGCACTCAAAGGGGTTTGCAGAATGTCAAGGGCAACAGCCAGCAACCAGGCACTCACACTATTTTTCCACTGTAGCCACATGTTTCCAACTTGGTGGCCAATGCTGCCCACTCCTCTGGGTACTCTGTGTGCACGTCACTTACCTTAAAATCCAGAACGCAAACCACAAACCCTCCTGTGCTCTCACTTCTCCTTGGTGTGGACCTTTAACTGACCATAGGGTGGAAAATCTCCATAATCTCCAGGCTTGTTGGTACCTCAGATGAAAGTTTGATAGGAGACCTGGATGTGTTGTGAGTTTTCCTTGTGGGAAGCTTCCTCTCTTGATGCTGCAGAGCTCTTTTGTGCTGGCATTCAGTAATCAGCAATTTGTGGTGGTATCTCCTGGGGACTGGTGACAATGTACTCTGCCAGTGCCCCAGCTGCAGTTAACAGAGGACAGGCTGCTTTTCTGCCTCTTTAATCTAAATACCACAGATTTGAACTAGAATTAAAAAAGAACCTCATGTTTTTCTAACTCTACATAGACTTAAGAAAAGGTAAATTTTCTGCTTGGCTCCAGCATATTTTTTGTCTGAGCTGCTCAAGTAGGTGAACTGGTCTCGTTATCTCATTTCCAATTCTCACAATCAGGTTTCTGTTGGGTTGAAGGCACTGTTTGATTGCTGTCCTCTGAGTTCATCTCCCTTCCAGGGCCTCATAGCCTTGGTGCAATCCCCACAGCTGATGTCTCCTGTCGCCACCAATCCAGAGTCCTGCCATGTTCACCTTCTTCCCCAAAGACCCTGGGCAGGAAATCCTGGTGGAGATCCCTCAGGGAGTTTCTGGATCCATCTGTGTGGTGCATGAGGATTTCCCCACAGCAGGGTATTGTTGTGCATCTTTACTGTTAAAATCTTTGAGAGGGAATTAATTTCCACAGCAGGTCACAGCTAATGGAATGGAGGAAGGGTTCCCATTTCTGTTCTCCACCTTTCCTGCTGGCAGAGCTGGCAGGAGGGAAACCCATGGCTTGCTGGAGATAAGTTTCTTCAACCATTTTGTGGTCCTATTAATAGTGCTTGCTGGCTTACACAGCTTATTTCTTCTCAATTTTGCATTTATTTGAAAAAAACCCAACCCCCTCTGTTGATTTAGTCCTGTAAGATGCAACCCTAAGCCACAATACTCTGTTCAAAAGGGGCAGGATGGGAGGGATAGTGGCATCAAAAAGCAGCAGCTGGTTTAATGCTATCCTGCCATTAACAAAACAAACTAGATTTGGTGTTGTTTCACTTTTAACAGCCTGGTTCCCACCAGCACTGCAAGAGAAGTGTGTGATTATTCTTCCCATGCCTGCTCTCCTGCAGGCACCACTGCACTTCCTGTCAAATCATGTCTAAAACAAATCCTGAAAACTTTATTTTTATGCACATTAATTTCTTTGCATTTATGTGTTGCAAATACAGAACTGCAGAAGGATTTTATAGAGAGTGGGCAATACAGGGGAAGGTGAAATTTGGAGTAGGTGATTGTGAAGTGTTGCACGAAAGGAAAACCAGTCTTGACTTGCCTATAAAATTTGGGTTAAGACAGGTACTACCATGGGAATATCAACTCTTTTCCCAGCAGGAAAAGCAAATTGGATGTCAGCAGGCAGGAAAGAAGTTAGATATAAACCAGAGAACACAGCTTTGCCATTGTAGGGTCCAGTGGTCCAGTCCACAGCCAAGGCATGATCCAATGCACTGCACAAATCCTGAATGCTGTGTTCTTCTCACCCCTTATCACACAGAGGGGACTCAAATAAGAAGTAGTAGAGCAAGAAAAGGTTCGGAGCAGGACAAAATGTAGGATCAGAGGTCTGGGATGGATTTTGTGTGTCAAGCTAGGACTCTTTACCCTGAAAACCTGATTTTAAAGGATTTACACTGAAGATCTCCAGGGTCAGGAGTGGCTGGAAAGGAGTGGAGAGGGGTTGATTGTTCTCTGCCTTTTCCAGTACAGAAAATAAGGGGCAGCAGGTGAAGCTGAAAGCAAAAGAAATGTCCCTGGATGTCCTTGACAAAGGACACTGTGGGTGCAGAGCCTGGAAAAATGCTTGGGAGAGAGGCTCATTGTGGGTTACTCAATAGACAGCAACAGGCTCAGGAAATCTATTTAGTTAAAAATAGACTGAAAATTAAGGGACAGTGTCATATATGATTTTCTTGTCATTATTACTTAGCCACGTGCTCACAGCCAGTGTTGGAGACAGGATGGTTGTCTGCATGAACCTTTGCTTTGAACCAAACCAGTCATTTTTATATTCTTAAATGTGAGATCTCATTACAATGTGTCATTTTAAGGAAGCCATTTGTTAAAAAACTCCACATCCATTTCCTCTGAAAAGCTATTAATTTTCCAATTATCTCATTCTTTAATGTTGGACACTTTAATCTTCCTTAGCTGTTCACCCTGTACAAGGACATTTATCCCAACAACAGATCCTGTGGTTTTTCACAGGAGAACATTTATCCCTCTTGGAAAAGGGATAATGGCCAGGAAAGATGTTTGACCCTGGGCAACTACCTCAGTTTGTGTTCCAGCTTTAGAAAAGTAAGGAGAGACCCAGGTTTGGGGATCAGGAGAATTTGCACAGAGGCAGCTTCCTTCCCCTGGCATTTCCTTGGAGATGTCACCTTGGGCTCTGCACAGTGGGATGTGACCCACGCTTTTAATTGTATCAAAATTATCATGGCTATGGCAGTGATGGACATCAGATTAAAATGAAAAGACCTGAGGAAAGGCATCAATTTCATTAATGGCTGTTCCACCACTGCTCTGAGTCATTTCCTCCTGCATCCAGGTGACTTGAGACATGTATTTTAATAACAGGAATGTAATTTGCAGCTCATTTCTCAGGGCAGGAATATACAACCCCAGCCCCCAGGAATATTTTGTGTCAAATTTTTTTTAAGTGACTGATAGGAAATACCCTACCTTAAATTTTGCATTCAGTGTTGATGTTAAGGCATAATGCTTTGAAGCCCCATAGCTGGGCATCAGTGCAGCCCAGCACCTCTCCCTAAGACATCAGTCAGTGAATTTACCTCGTGCTTGTGCTGGGTGATTGCACTTGGGCTTTGCTGAAGAATGGCAGCAGTTCTCCTGTGACTCTGCCTGTAAGAGCCCACAGAGCTCAGCATCTCACCCGTGGTGTGCCTGAAGAGGGGGAAGATATTGATAAGACAAGGGGAGCTGGCCTCTGGCTGAGCCAAGGGAGGCTCAGTTGGATATTAGGAAAAATTTCTTCACTGAAGGAGTGGCTAAGAATTGGAACAGGCTGTTCAGGGCAGTGGTGGAGTCACCATCAGTGGCAGTGCTCAAAAAAACACCAGACATTGCACTTTGGCATTGAGGTATTGGGTCAAAAGTTGGACTAGATGATCTTGGAGCTAATTTCCAGCTGAAAGGATTCTCTGGTTCTATGCTGTGGTGGCGCTCAGCTGTGGTGCTGCCACGTGCAAGAGCAGCATGCACCCAGCTCCTCTGAGAATGCTGTGCCTGTCCCCAGAGGCAGCTGCCCAGCTGGAAGGTTTTGTGCTGCATGTCATGCTGCCTGCACAGCCCACAGGATGTGTGGTGGGTGAGATCACAGGCGCAGCTCTGGGCACAGAGATGTCTCCTAAGCCACAGCCCTCCTCCCTGCCGGGCCCTGTGGGGATGCAGGGTGGTTGCACATCACATTTGGTGCCTGACCTCCTGGCTGGATGCTTTAACCAGCAGCAGAGAAGAGGAGCAGCAAATCCAGCGTGGCTGCAGCTGGGGCAGGGTACCCCTGGTGCTTGGCACCAGCTTGTGGGCTCAGCACAGAATCTCAGAATTGCTTAGGTTGGAGAAGAACTTTAAAGTCATTGAGTCCAACCCTCCACCCAGCACTGCCAAGGTCACCACTAAAACATGTCCCTGAGTTTTTCCAGAAAATATGACTGTGACACCTGAGTGGCACATCTACATGTCTTTTAAATCCTCCCAGGGATGGGGACTCCACCATTTCTTCTACTTTCTTAATTTCTTTCAGTGAAGAATTGTTTCCTAATATCTGATCTGAAACTGCCCTGGCACAACTTCAGACCATTTCCTCTTGTCCTGACTTTTCTTTGGAGGTGTCATTGCTCCCAGTTCTCTGTAGAGAATTCCAGAGTTTTTTGGTGTTTCTCAGCAAAGCTCAAGCCCTTGGAAAAAAAAATCAGTATTGCAAAACTTCTCCAAATTTCTCCAGGATCAAGTTTTCTGCCTGATGGAGAGGGTCAGTCCAGGGCAAGACAAAATTTAGCTCTGACTCATTACTGGGGCCAAAAAAAGCCAAGGAGACAAATTCTGAGGTATCTTTGTCAACCTGGCTCCCTGAGAGCTCCCTCCAATCCAAGGAGTTTTTGGGACAGGATGGAGAGGGCTTTGCCATCTGAACAAGTTTCTTTTGCGTATTGACTTCCAGCTGAGCCATTCATCTTAGGGCTTTGGGGGTTTTACATTAAATGAATTAAGTAATTTTTCTGTGTGAGATCCCCATTGCAACAGCACTTGGATATGTTATACCTGGCAGAGAAAAGATCCCGAGCTGATGTCACCACTGGGTTTTTCTTTTTTGTAGTGTTTCAAATCTGGTTTTCATTTATTAACGAGATCAGAAAGTGTAAATAGCAATAATGATACTCTCTCTCTTAAAAGTGTGATGCAGCCCCCTTTCACTCACACTTGTATCTTAAAGGCTAAATGAGAAGTTGAACTTTAGCAGAAAAACACAAATGCCTAAGGGAGGAATGTTAAGGCTTCTGTCATCTTGCAAACATTTAAAGCATGGGTGAGTTTTGCTTCATGTGAAAGAACCACTGGTGTATGAACTCAAATTAACCTTTCTCATAGCCAGGTAGTAGAGGAGCAAAATGAAAACCTTACAGAAATTTATTTTTGACTTGGTCCAATATGCGTTCCACTTAAATGAATGCTGGAATAACAAATATTTGTTTATAATCCCACAGCAGCTGCAGATCTCATCCTGAGTGCACTCATTATAGGTATATTGATACATACAATACTTGTTATTTCAGCAAATAATATATACTTTAATATCCAGAAATTATATTAAACAATAATTAGAATAATATATTTAAAACCACAATTTCTTGTTTACATAAGCCAGAAATTTAACACATAACTATTTTTGGTTTATTGAAGTCCAGAGAAATAGGGGCAAAAAGCACTAATGCTACCAAGAGGTAATTTTTTTTATTTGTAGAGGGTTTTTGGGGGGGATTTCCTTGTAGTTTCTGGGACATATCTGATTTTATACAGTGACAGAAAAAGACATTTAGAAATTCCCACTTAACAGATCTGACCTGAATTCTTAGAAGTCCTGCTGTGAATCCATTTCTCCTGCCAGGACAACATATTTAATAAATAAACAGCTACAGTGCATGGAGCTGTTGTGGGCGAGGATAAATCTGAAAGAATTTAAACAGCACCCATGGATAATGCATCTTCTTTTTTTTTTGCACAGATTTCAAGTTGAATAATTTAATAGAGGTGTTATTCAGCCTTTCTCCATCATTGTGCCTTACTCAGCAGTTTATAACTGAAAAATTGATTTTTATATATTAGGAGCTTTAAACTCAGAGATAATTTTACTCTTCTGTCAATAATTTTCTTTCAGTTGAATGTTTTCAACTGCACCTGATGTGATTTACTTTTCTGTACCATAAAAACACAGACCATCCACATAAAAATGACTGAGCAGTTTAGAAGAAAAAAGAAAAATTGAGCACTTTCAATATTAGATTAACAACTGAGCTATTCTGTAAAGACTGGCAACTTTTTAAAAATGCATTTACAGAACTGTAACAAAACCATGAAGACTATTTACTGCAATGCTGGAAGTACCTGTATTTCTGCTCTGTATCTATGTCCTTTGAATATTTTAATGCTTTCAAGATTTGCACTGTTCATTGAGAGAGTAACTGGATTATATTTTTATAATATAGAATATGAATTATATATATATTTATATATAGTCTATATATTCTATACTCTATATATAATATCTGTTCTATATAAAATATATAATATATACTATAAAATATAAAATAATTAATAGTAATCATAAAACCACACTATTGCAACAAATCATTTTTGATCTCTTTTACAATTGCCTGCCCAATGATTTGTGGGGATGAGCACAACATAGGTGAAGTTTTGCTCTTGAAGCCATACATCTGCAAAACACTCCTTGTCCTTTTGTCTTTGTCCAAATTTTGTGGTGTCTCCTTTTGTCATTTAAGAGGAAATAGTTTATTTACATTTGAAGCAAGATATTTGGGTTATATCTATAAAATCCTGTTATTTTTCCTTCTAGGTATGGCCGCTCCTTGCTGCAGGCAGGATGGTGACAATGGGAGACTGGAGAAGGCTGATCCATCATTGGAAGGAATCAAGGAATAAATTAGGGACCCTCATGTGCCAGGACATGGTGGCAGAAGTGACACTGTGATGGGCAGTGCTGTCACCTGTACCTCCCTCTCTCCATGGGTCCAGGGATGAGGCTATTACAGAGATGCACAGAAACACTTTCCCATTAATTTTCAAGTTGGAGATGCCATGCCACATGGCATGTGAGCAGAACATGGCATCCCTGACCCTTGGCTGGCACTCACTGTGCTCTCAGCAAAGAAGCTGCAAATATCAGGGAACTGGGATAATTTTCTCAGCATCTTTCCATTGGTGTTTCTGTTTTGTGCTTATTTATGCTCTGGGGGAAAAAAAGTCTGCAAAATGGGAATCTATTTTTATCTATCAACTCTTAAAATTGTGAAACCTGCTGCTAAAATCTCTCCCAGTTTTACTGTCTAAAGCACTCTATTGATGACTGTAGAAATTACAATTATTTTTTCATAATTTCTACTGGTAAACTGCCCAAACCTGTGTTTCAATAGGCCAGACAACATCTTTGGCTGTCACTGTCCTCTCCTGTTTTCACTGCACATAGCTGATGGAGAGTCTGGGTGGGTTTTGGTTTTGCCCTTTTTAAATATTTCTTTTTTCTGAAATACAAAGAAAAAATGAGGACCAATTGGGGAATTCAGACATTGAGCAAATTCTTTGTTGTGGGTGAGCAGAGAGCCAAGGAGTAAATCCCTCTCCTTCGTGCTTGTGTTATTGGAGTTGGGAAAAGTGACTGAAATCTATCAAGACAAGATGGTGCCGTCCTGGGGAGGGGTTTCAGCCAAGGCTTTTTAAATATTTCTTTTTTCTGAAATACAAAGAAAAAATGAGGACCAATTGGGGAATTCAGACATTGAGCAAATTCTTTGTTGTGGGTGAGCAGAGAGCCAAGGAGTAAATCCCTCTCCTTTGTGCTTGTGTTATTGGAGTTGGGAAAAGTGACTGAAGACAAGATGGTGCTGTCCTGGGGAGGGGTTTCAGCCAAGATCAGGCACTGTGAAGATGTCCTGAGTGTGGAGAAGAAGGAGCAGGAGTGGACTGGGCAGAGTTTTATCTGAGGCTGCTCACCTTCCTGTGGGAGAGGAGGGTTGGGCTGTATTTGCTGCTTGGCCATGGGAGGTGCTCTCCAGTGCTGGCTGGGGGTGGGAGAGCTGAGGAAGGTGTGGGCATTGAGGTCAGGACACCTCGAATGTGAGAAAGGCAGCTGGGATTTCAAAGCAGCTGCAGGCAGAGGGAAAGCCCCTGCTTTGTAAAGAAAAATGCTCATGGGAAGTTTCAAAGGAGGTTTCTTACAGCTGTCATGAAAAATGTACAGGCCATAAAAACTGTCTGCTTCTGGGGCAAAGCTCTACTTCTACTTGCAGGGCAGGAAAATGATGGTTTTAGTTAATCTAAGCTCTCACAGAGGATAAATTGTGATGTCTGGGGGTCAGAGATGCTCAGAATCCCCTCCCTGCTGCACCTGGGGTGGGGTCTTGTGCTGGTGTCCCCACAGCTGGGTGGCCTGAGAGCTTGGGTGAATGTCACAGCCTGGGAAAGCTGGCTCAGCATGATCCACTGCCAGCTTTATTTACTGCATCATTTAGGGGAAGCACCAACGGCTGGGCTTGAGACCAAGCTCTACAGGAAATTCAGTGTTAGAGTGGAAAGCAGCAGCACCCTGCGGCTGGGAGGGGAGGGAGGGGATGGTCAGAGTGATGCTGCTGTGCCAGTTTCACCCAAGCTCATCCCAAGACTGTGTTAGCCCCGACCCTGGGGACCCTCTGCCACCTTCCCCTTGCCCTCACTGTAGCTGGCACAGTGCTGGTGCCTGTGTGTGAGCAGATGTGGGGCTGGGGGGCACCTGAGAGCCAGTGCTGCCTGCCTGTGCTCAGCAGGATGCCAAATTTCCAGCCCCAGCTCTGCCTTGGCACCCTGGGCAGCAGCTGAGCCTTGTTGCCATCCCTGGGGAGACCTTCCCTGCTTCTGGCATCCCTCAAGGCTCAGCACACCCAGGCATCACTCAGGGCAGTTCTCACTGGCCATGCTGTGCTGCTGGGCTCTGGGCCAGCCCCTGGGGGCCTCTGTTTGCTCTCAGAGGTGGTGCTGACCTTCAGGCTGTGCCAAGTGTTTGGCCTTGTGTGCATGGCTTTGTCTGGTTTTCCTCTCCCACTCCTGGCTGTTTGCCGTCTCCCATGGGAGAAGACACCCTCCCAGACCTGCTCCCCCCTGCAGCTTTTGCTCTGCTTTAACTCTTTCTTGGTTGGAGGCCGTGGTTCCTTGCTTGCCACACAACCATGTGGACAAAGACACCAGCCTGCAGAAGAAAATAACTGAGTGATCTATTTGGTATTGAATAAACCTGCACAGAGACAATTTACAAATTGTCTCTGCCCCATCCCTGCTGGTTGCTCTCAAAGTGTTACATATTTTTATCAATCAGTATTAACAGGAGCAAAAAAAGCACCTTTGTGCTGTCCTACAGATGAACACAGAGAGCCAAGGAGCTCACAGCTTTCCAGCCTGTCTGAGTCCCTTTGGCACCAGCCCCTTTCCCCCTGTGCAGAGCCAGCCGCGGCATTTGCCCTGCTCAGTGTCCTTTGGGAAGTGCTCAGGATGCTGCAGATTCCAGCTTGGTCCTTTTGCCAGCTGCTGTGTCCAGGAGGACGTTGAAGCCATGCAGGAAAGAAATGTCTGTACTGTGGGATGAGCCCACGTCTGTCCCCTGCCAGGTCCTTCCTGGGTCACGTCCAGCAGTGCTCAGCCTCGTGCAGGGGAGGGTCCATGGCTTCTCCCTGCCTGTCTGAGGCAGGGAGGGCAGTGGGCTTTACTGGGATTTACTGGGAATTACTGCCTGTGGATGCGAAGCCACAGCCTCCGCCGCAGGCCTGGGAAGAGACAAGAGACATTGTCCATCAGTCCTGGACTCCCTCCTGCCCCTCCATCCCCTCCTGGGCTGCCCCAGGCCTGGCACCCCTCAGGATGCTGGCAGGGAACTCACGGTACAGGCGGTAGGCGGTGGGGACCAGGCTCAGCAGGAGCAGCAGGACACCAGCAGCCAGTGGGATCCAGACCAGGGGACTGCAGGGACCTGGGGAGAGGAGAGGACTCAGCACCTGGCACCACCCTGCCCCAGCAGCTTTGGGGATGGGGAAGGGAGGAAAGCAAGGCAGGCACTCAGAGGAGCAGAGGACGTGACCATCACCTTGGGGTAACCTTTGAAAGATGCACTACAGAACCACAGAATGACAAAATGGGTAAAGCTGGAAGAGACCACACCTGGTCCAACCTCCCTGCTCAAGCAGGGTCATGGCACAGGGTTGTGTCCAGGTGGATTTTGCATATTTTTGATAAGGGAGACTCCACAACCTGTCTGGGCAACCTCTTCTGGGGCTCAGTCTCCCTCACAGTAAGAAAGTCATTGCAGGGAACTTGGAGGTCATGAGAACATAAACTGAAACCCATCCTGTCCCTAAACCTGTGGATATCCCTGGGAATCCCTCCTAGAGGCAGAAGTCAGCTCTATCCTGAGCAGTGTGTCCATCTGGACCAGACACCCACTCCTGCAGGGTGACACTGTGGTGGCCCCACCCCAGGACAAACTCCAGCTGAGCCCTGGGGACCCCAAGAGCTCAGCAAATCCCTTTTCCCAGGCAGCCTGAGCTGAGACACAGCCATACCTTCCCTGCTGGCAGCTTTTCTTCTGGTTGTCCGTGGCACAGGCTTTTTGGACACCGGTGTCTGTGTGGTCTTTGGAGGCAAAGCATCAACTGGGGGGTAAGGACAAAAAGAGGGTGGTGAGTGTGACACTGAGTGCAGGGACATCTCCAACAGCAGCCAAGAGGGGAGAGTTTGTGCCTTGGAATGAGCCCCAGCCACTGACCCCTGCAAAGGGCTCTGTCACTCAGAGGGGTGAGCTTAACCTGAGCCTCTGGGGGCTCACAGAAGTTACCAAGAGCTTTTAGAAGTGATAATAAAATAATGTACCAGGTAAAGAAGGCTAATGCAGGGAAAATCCCCAAACCAGCTTCAGTGACATTTGGTGCCAAATATTATCTCACCAGAATTGCACAAAATCATGGGTAGCAGGAGATTTCAGCAGCACTGGAATGTTTTGAGGGATCCCTGGATCTTTTCCGTATTCATATGGCTCTAATTGCTCAACATTTGATTTTTTTTTTTTCTGATAAAATGAGGGTAGGATTTATTATGGTGTATCTAAATTACAGTGGAACACTTTCATTTCTGAATATAGTTGGCCAGGAAAATAAGCCAGCGATGTCATTAAATAGCTGCATGTCTGACTGCTCAAACCATATTTATTCCACATTTTAGGTGACTGAAAACTAATTTTTTTTCTGTTTTTATCCAGGATGTAAATTCCTACAGAAACTACTATTCTTTTACAAGAAAAGATGAGACATCAGGGCTCTGGGATTTATTTGGACAACGTCTCTCTCAAATTATAATAGACTTAGGGAAAAGAAACTTAAAGGCAATTTGTTTAATCATGAGAACTAAAAGGAAAAAAAGAAAATATCCAGCCAAGCCCATCTTCCCAGAGCACCTGCTGCTGTTTACTTTTTAATTGGTGTCCTTGATCAAGCTGCATTTCAAGCTTATTTTTCATGCTTTGCACAGAGATATGTGCCCAGCTGTTACAAAACAATTCTCCTTTATCTTAAACCAGCTTTTCTCTGAGCCTGCAAGAATCCAAAAGGGATTTCTCATCCAGTTCAAGGTACAAAGTATATTTGCAAAAAAACCCCAGAAAAACTGGGACACTGGGTCTGCTTTAGAGTCAGAAGCTGCAGTGGCATTTCAGTTAAATAAGTTATTTGTATCTTAGTTAAATAAGTTATTTGTCTCCCTAAAAGTCTTCAAAAATAGAGGCTGAATCCCACTTCAAATACATTAGTTTTTCTGCATCAGCTACTGCTCTGTGGTCAAAAGGAAAATGGGCTGAAAAGAGCTTCTGTAAGACCCAGATGTCTGTAAAGCCTCTCTCCTGCCATGACACCTGCAGAAAACTGCTATTCCTGTTTGGATCTCCCCAGGGATAGTGGGCTGTGACCTTTAACGAATAAATCCCATCTCAGTTTTGTTGTTTTTTTTTTAAGAGTGGTCTTGAAAGCTCTCATCAGATCCACCCCAGAGATGTGAGGGGTGATGCTCTCTGGCCTCGATGCTGATCTTTTCACTTGGAGTGAGGGTAAGGAAGAATTATGGGATGGAAGGACCGCCATGACACCTGCAGAAAACTGCTATTCCTGTTTGGATCTCCCCAGGGATAGTGGGCTGTGACCTTTAAGGAATAAATCTCATTTAAGTTTTTTGGGTTTTTTTGAAGGGTGGTCCTGAAAGCTGCCATCAGATCCACCCCAGAGATGTGAGGGGTGATGCTCTCTGGCCTCGATGCTGATCTTGTCACTAGGAGTGAGGGTAAGGGAGAATTAAGGCATGGAAGGACTTGTGAGCTGAGCAGGGCACACATCCAGCCTCTCATCTAGAGTACAGCAGGGAATGAGAAAAACACAGGCAATACCAGGTCTTCCCATGGGGCATGGAAGGACTTGTGAGCTGAGCAGGGCACACATCCAGCCTCTCATCTAGAGTACAGCAGGGAATGAGAAAAACACAGGGCAGGTCTTCCCATGGAAATCCTGGAGCACTAGGATCAATGCTGTGCTCAAGGCATGCCCACAGCAGAGCAACTGCTGATGGCAAAAGGACTATCACATGAAGCTGACCTAAATTTTAGTGATTTTCTGTATTTTCTGCTTTATCCGCTCTCATGGAAAAAACCCAGAGCCTCAGCTTTCCAACCCAAAATTGGGAAGAATCAAATCACCCCTTCCCCAGGCTCATCACAGCCTACTGGTGGCACATTTTGGAAGCCCGAGGGTGCTGCTTACCCACTGTGAGCTGTGTCCCACTGCCCAGGAGCAGCTGGGCGGACTGGGAGACGGAGCAGTAGTAGGTGCCGCTGTCCAAGGGTTGCAGGTTGCTGATGTGCAGGCTGTAGGAGCTCTGGGACCTGGCCTCATGGACACTGAACTTGTCCTGCCTCACGTTTGGGCCGTATGTGGCTTTGCCCAGTGTGTTGGAAAACAACAGGAACTCGAAATGTTGTTTCTGCTGGCTCCAGCGGTACCAGTACACCCCGGTGTTCTCCTTCAGCTCACAGAGGATTTCAGTTTTATTGTTAGTTAGGGTTAGAATATGCTCTGGAGTTTGGGTTAAAAGTAGAGTTGTATAAAAACCTAAGGAAAAAGAGAAATGTACAGGTATTATTTTAATTTCATTGCTTTCCTTTTGTGCAAAATACAGATTTTCTTTATGGGCTTAATAAAATCACAATAGACACGCAGACCAGGGGGGTCACATGAGTGAGAAACAGGAGCATTTTTATCAGGATGTTCCCATATTCCCTCAGAGGCATTTTTGGGTTCCCCAGCTATTGTTTTGGGCAAGCCAAATTATACAGGCAGATTTTTCTCTGTAAACACTCATCTAAGGAGTCTCACTGACAGGGAGAGAGATGGAGGGATGGTTTTGAGGGTATCCTTGGGGCTGTATGTGCAGGGGAAAGCATCCTTGCCTGCTCCTATGAACACCCCTTCTCCTGCCCTTCTTACCTTACTCATTTTTCAGACATTTTACTCCTTTTCCAACAAATTTTAGTGCCTCTTAACTGATTCGCCAAGTTTCCTTCTAAAAGATACAACACTGATAAACATTTCAGGGGCAGAAAAAGAGACCAAAAAACATCTTGAAATGAGCCAATTTGATATTAGCTTCCAGACAATAATATTTTTCAAAGGAATTTTGAGACATGGGGAAGGAGAGGGAGTGAGGGGCAGCGGTGGGGTTCAAAGCTTTGGCTTGGCGTCGCATCGCCCTGTTTGGGCTTTGCAGCTTTGTGGAAATTATCTGAGTCTTGTTTGGCCCAGGCAGATGTGAGGGGTGCCCGTGAGAGTGAGGATGTGTCCTTGTGGAAAGGATAACAGGTAACGTGTGATCCTTGCTGCTCAGCAAACAGTCCTGCAAAGCTGCAGATACTCTGAGCCCGAGTGAAAACAGCCCTCTGGAGATAAGGACACTCCTGCTTCCCCCGTCTCTTTCCCAGGCGTGTTTTAAAGCTGTGAAAAAAGCTCAATAATACTTGTTTCTTGTCCTTTTTTTTTACTTTTAAACGTTCCTTTTTCTTCAAAATCCTGAAGCTGCTTACAGCTTTTTCAGCCTCGTGCAGCCCTGTTAACCCAGTGGTGTGGGGAGGGGTTGGCACGACCCAAGAACACCTAAAGGCATTAAATGTGGCACAAGGTCCTGATGTCTCCCATGTTTCCAATGGGACAGGCAGAGGAGAGGGCTTTGGTGACTGACAGGGGTGCAGAGCCTTCCTCTGTCCCCACACCAATGACCCCATTGCTGCCAGTGCTGCAGAACACCAACGTTGCAATGCCAAAAGTCCAGTGTTGCACAGCAGCTGCAGCATTTCACCACATCCTCTGGCTCTGTGACAATGTTAATGTCTCCTTATTATTAAAATATATAATTTTATGGCTTTAGAGAGGCTTAAATTCTCTCAGATTAAGAGATAATTAAAATTAAGTTTTAAATTCTCTCAGATTTTGTCCTGGCAAACACCTGTGTGGTGTTTTAGGAGGTGAAATGTGTCTGGCCATGGCACATGGGAGCTTCAGGGTCTCCTTGAGTGCCCTCAGGTCTGGCTCTGCTGGGCATGGGAAACATAACTCTCCATGAAAAACTTATCCTTGACCTGTTGGAGACACTGTTATGTAAGTCAGAAAAGATAAGAAGAGATTCTGGAAGATCTCAGCCCAGTGCCAGTGGCCAAGCCAGGAGTGAGCTGGGATGGAGACAGAGAAGAAAACTCATCCTCAGTCACACCTTCAACCCCAAAACATCTCTGTTCCCTTTCCTGGTGAATATTCAGGGGGACCATGGGAAATCATGGTGCTTGGCCAGACCAGCCTGCACCAACTTAAAAATTACCCCTTTTCCTTTTGCATGCGCAAAGCAAAATCCCATTTATTGAGGTTTTCTCGGTGGGCTCCTCACCTCACCTATAAGATATCAGAATCTGTAAGGCAGAATGGTTCTGTAACATACAATTCCAGCTGTGGTCCTTGGGAAGTACTCAGTCTTTGGATGATTTAGAAAATTTGGGATGTTTGCCATATTTGTGTTACACAGGCAGTGGAGAGAGGAGCTATTTTAACTCCTCCATTAGCAGCTCCTTACAGCCCATCTGCACTGAGGAGTAAAAACTCTGTGGTGTCTATACTATTATGTATGGAAATATGAACAGAATATAGAATAGAGTAGAGTAGAATAGAATAGAATAGAATAGAATAGAATAGAATAGACTATTTCACTTGGAAGGGACCCACAGCAACCAACTGGTCCCACTTTCTGACCAGTTCAGGGCTGACTAAAACCTAAAGCACATTCTTAACAGCATGATCCAAAATTACTGGAAATAGCTAATAATACCCTGTAGATCTCTACTATGATGGTGTATTTAATCTTCCAGCTGCTGGAGTGTGGTGAAGGAGAGGCTCCAGCAGGATTTTAGGTGCCCTCAGCCCTCAGGAGCTGTTTCTCTTACCTGGGATCTGGAGGCAGATGCAGAGATGGAGCCATGGCCAGGCCATGGTGGCGGACTCGGTGACAGAGGGGTTTTGTGCCAGCTCCCCCTTTCCACTCGCTGTCACCTCTTGGTGGCAGGGCTGGATTCACCTCAGGAAGTGCTTGCCCTTCTCTGTGCAGATCTGTCACCAGCAGCTGCCAAAGAGCCTCTGCCACAGCAGCACCTGGAGCCTCAGCCCCGCAGCTTCTTCTGCGCCGAGCCCCAAACCCAAGAGTCTGTCAAGGCAGCAGCCCTATGCTCTTCTCCAGCACTTCACAGGGTACCCTTAAATCCCCTTTAGAAAAATAAAACCAAGAAAACTCACTGATTTTTAATTTCTTCAGATTTCTTAATATTTCACCACCTTATTCCTCCTTCTTTTAATCGACTTCTATCAAAAAATTACAAATGTAGGGCCATGGCCTTAAAGATAAAAGGAGGAAAGCATGAATTTTGTCTGCTTTTCTCCCTGTTGAAATAAAAAAGCATTCAAGACAAGGAAAAGATGCAGTTTGATCTGTGGAGTTGTTTTCTTCAGCAGAATTTATAGCAGGTGTTTTTCTCTGAAAAATGCTGAACACCAGACCAAGCCAACATAAAGCAGAGATGTGAAGCATCACAGAAAGCTTTGAAATCAAGAGCTAGAAACCTCAAACAAATTTGTGGCTGAAAAACCACAAAAATGAGGAAACTCTGCTGGGGCTTTCCACCTCAGAGCATGTGCTTCTTCGGTAGCTGTGACAGCATGCGGCTCACAGGCAGAAATATTTAAATGATAAAATATCAGAATGGCTTTGAAATGTCTGTGAGGAAGAGGTTTGAAGCATTTGGGGTTTAGGATTCAAAGACAAGTACATGAGGTGAAATTATAGAGATGAACTGGTGTCAGCAGACTTCAATATTTTCATGTTTGGGGAAAAAATATTATTTTAAATTATTTTTATTTTCTGGCCTCTTGGCTGCCAAGTGAGATTCAGCTTTCTTTTTTGTTCCTCTCATGCAGATACTCGTGGTCCTTAGAATGCCCCAGCATCTCCCCAGAAAAGGAAATCTCACATGGGGGCACTGAGAAACCTCCCCCAGGGTTGAGCTGGCAGATGAATAGGAAAAACAATATTGCATCTTGCACACTGTGAGATTTTGTTTTATACCAGATTTTCCATACTGCTGTAACACATCCTCTCCCCATTTCTGTTCAAATTAATTTCCTGCTCTAAGCGGGTTGCTAAGTGCAAAACCCTTACCACAAAAGGCTCATCTGCTAAACTTTAGGGTGGGCTGGATTGCTCCTTAACTCTTTCCTGGCAGGAGAAGGCAATTTTAGTGTTTTCAAACCCTTTTCAGTGCTTAGCCCTGGATATGGGTTGCAGCAACACTTGTCTCTGCTGTCCTCACCTTCTGCTCATTTGTCCCTTTTACCCCGAGACTGGGCTCTCCTTAGAATGAGGTGAAACACTCTTTTTTTCTCGAGGTGGGGTGCAGGGAGTGCATGTCATGAGAAATGCCACTGCAAGTGAATTTTCCCTTCATCCCTGTGTTGAAGTGTGTGAGCTGAGCCCAAAATCCCCAGCTGCTGCCATGCTCCCTCTTTTCCCACTGCTGCTGTCACCTGGAGCAACTTCTGGCTTCCTGGCCAGGACAGGAATTTTTCCCAGAGGTGGGGAATAATTTTTTTATTTTTGCCATCATCACAACCTTGGATAAGGGGGTGTTACACTGGGATGACTCTCCAGGACATTATAGCAGATTTAGAGAAAGCACAAGAAATATATGAAATGTAAAAGCAAAATGTACTGGAACATGGGTGAAATGTAATTTTAAAAAAATTGCTGTTGATACACAGTGGAGCTGTTTACCAGTGGCCAAGCTGTTCTCAGGACTGGCTGTTGTCCCTACAAGAAAACATTTTGGAGGAGGGAAATCTTTGTCTGGCAGCAAAGCTCTGACAAAAATCAAAGCACGGTGTGCACGTGCAGGAGACAGCTGCTGTTTGTCACATCCCCACATTGTTTGGGGCTGCTGTCCTGGGAAGAAGATGGGAGGAAAGAAGGGTGTAAGTTGATCTTATCTGTTCACACAAGCAAGATTGGTTGGTGACCTTGCTGAGGAATAGCAGCTCCTAATCACCAGTGTTTGGCTCACGGCTGGGCCGTGCTGGGGGGGAATTGTTGAATTTTGGTGTATTTGTACTATGTAGCTGCACAATTTCCAGGGGAATTTTATTCTTTTTCTGAAATTAAAGACAACCATTCCTGTCCACAGCCCAACTAGGTTCCCTGTGAACTCATCCGAGTGGGAAACAGCCCCTATTCTTTCTTCCAGCCCGCATCCTGCCCACCTCACCATGCTGAGATTCATTTCTGGTGCTTTCACCAGCTTTTCTGCATTTTTTACTCTTTCTTTTCCCCCTCTTATGAATTTTCTACAATAAAGTGTTTGTTTTGGGGTCCTGGAGTAAAGCATTGGTGTAGAAAAACAGGGTTTAGAGCCAAGATGCAGGACCTGGCTGGGGTTTCATATCTGTTAAACTCCCATGCTGCAGAGGAGGTTAATTGCAGCTGGACTGTAAATGCCAGGCTAGAGAAAACAGCTAACATAAAAATACAGAAAAGTTCATTCTCCCTGTGCTTTTGAGGCTAAAAGGATTGATTTTGGGGGTCAGGGAAGGCTGCTCAGCCTCCAGGCCAGTCCAAACAAGCCAGTACTGCAGCATGTAGAAATAAGGGCTGCTCTGGGGGTACAGTGCAGGACTGAAACTCCCCGGGGCTCCAGTAGCTGTGAACATTTTTTATCCTATTTTAAAATATTTTAAAAAAATTTAAATGGTTTTATTCTAGTGGAGGGTTTAGCTTCTGGAGTATTTCATTAGAGGTAAAAGCAGTAATGAAAATTATAGCATTTCCACTGAGTGAAACAATTGGTACCTTTTTCTGAGTGCAATAACAGGAGAAAAAAAAAACCCCAAACAAGTGGGTCAAATTTTCTAAACTTCTCCAAGGTAAGATGTGGTTGGAGAGGTGGGGGGTCCATCTGCTTTTGCAGGTGCAGATTTACAGCTGCAATTCAGCTGATGCAATATCACAGTTGAGGCTCCTCACATCTCATGGGGTAACCCCAAGGTCCATGTCAGTGTATGATGAGCTGGGCTGTGGCACAGAAAAATGCTGCTTTTAAAGACCAGATACCAAAATGGATCTAAACGATGATTTATGTGAATTTTCCTGTCATTTCATCCCTCCCTGGCAAATAGATCTGTGCTTGGGGGGTGGTTTGGTGGGATTGTGTTTGTTACAGGTGTCAGGTGTGAGCTTCCTGTGTGATCTCCTCACAAACCGCAAGTGCTAATGGGGTGTGCAGTGAACGAGGGGGCCGTGGGGGGATCTGGGAGGATGGACGGTCAGAGGACAGGCTCCAGCTCTCCCTCTTCAGGACATTTGGTGCAAGCAGGAGTTTAGTGTGAGCCATGCCTAATCCTGCACCTCCCCAAACAGATAAGGGGCAGTGCAGGTGCTGCCATGTGATCTCAGCTTCCCTAATCAGTGTTGAAGAGGATAAGGAAAGACAAGGAAATTGTCCTTGGGAAGGCAGCACACGGAGGAGGAAAAGCCACCAAGGAAGTAAACACAGGTGTCATCAGCCCCAAACAACGACCTGCCATGGCTATAAAAATCTCCAGCCTGAGACTTCGTGACCACCTTTACCTTAAAGGTGCCGGATCTGCTGGACCTCTGCAGAGGCCATCTCCAGACTCCTGGGACTGCCGGAACATTCAGCCGAGGATTGGTGAGATCTTATTATTGGGCTCCTACTCCGTCTCTCCTTTGCTTCACCTGCTCCCACATCCCTTCCCCGCTCCCTCCTGGGAGCCGGCGGCTCGCGGCAGCTGCCGGCCCGGCCGTGGCCTCCTGTTCCCACCTTCCCCTTCCCTTGTGCCCAGGCTCGGTGTCCCCTCGGTGGGCTTTTTTTGGAAGGGTGGGTTGTGGGGTTGCGGCCTTGCTGTGTGGAGGGGTTGAAGTTGGGTTTGTCAGTGCTGGTGTGTTATGGTAGTTTTGCCCTGAGACGGAGCTGTCTCGGATCTTGTCCCCTTTGCTATGATGAGCGACATCGTTAGCAGCTGGAAGCTGGAGCAGTTTGTGCTCCAGAAGTGTCTCCCCCCAATTTGGTCACCAGGGTCTTTCCAGGGCCCAGATGCGTACCAGCAGCTGTGCCAGCAGTGGGAGAGCTGGTCGGAGGAGAACAAAAAGCCCAAACCCACTAACAAGTGTAAGAAGCGGGCGGCTTTGCAGGGTTTGCTGATGGTAGGCAGGGAGTTGTCGAAATTGCTGAAGGAGGCTCTTGAGAATTTGCAGACCTTGGAGCAGGCCAAGGAGGAGCTCAAAGTCCAGGTGGACAACCTGCGGGCGGAGGTGCAGGGTTTGTGTGGGGACTCCCTGCGGAGCGCGGTGGAGATCACCCGGCTGGAGAGCAAGCTGGGCTATGAGAAGCTGAAAACAGAGGAGCTGAAAAAGGAGGTTGGCAAGTGGATTGGGGAGACCCACGATGCGCAGAGCGCGGTGCGGGCGGTCCTGCAGGACGTCCAGCGGGACCGGGGCACCGGCCCCGATCACAAGGTGTGCCATGCCAAGATCCAGGAGCTGGAGGCAGAGCTGGGGGTGTCAAGGGGCATTGTGGCTGCCATTAAAGGCAAGAGGACCCCGATTGGGAACGGTGAGGGGGAGGACTCCCTGGACCTGCACCCACCCCACTACGATTATGAGGATGATGTGTGGGGTGCTAACAGCCCCACCAGGCCGTCCCCTTATGCTCCTCTGAGGGAGGAGGTGTGCCAGCTGCAAGTAGGGGAGGTAGAGGCTTCCAAAGATAAAAAGGTCCCCCATGATGAGCCCGTTACCCATGTCCCACTCCAGCCCATAGACACCAACAGGGCTGTGCTCTGGTTTACCCCCGAGCAGCTTAAGACAGTGGGGAAGATGCTGGGGCCACTGACAAAGGAGACAGCAATTAACTGGCTGTCCAGGGTCCAGCGTCTGCCCAAGTGCCAGAGTGGCAACTTTGTGAGTGACCTGATAGACATTGTGAGAAAGTGCATGAAACCAGACGATTTTGCATCACTGCCAGGGGATGTGCAGATGGGCAATGTCCAGGACATTGGGGATGTCCAGCTGGCTGTGCTGAAGGTGTTCTTCCCAGAGGTCAATCCCTTAGTGCTCTTCCACCAGGAAAAGCAAAGCCCCGAGGAGAGGCCTGATGCCTATGTTAACCGTAAAAAGATGCTCTACCAGATGGCTGGGCTGCCTGGCTCAAAGGACTCCCCCCCTGATTTTGACAGGTCTGAATTCAAGGAGCCGCTGGTGGTGGGGCTGACACCTCCACTGCGGGTGATTGCTGGTGGGGATGCAGCCAAAAAGCCTCTGTCAGAGCTGGAGCAGATCCTGAACCAGAATTTTGAGCTGCAAAAGCAGGCATTCCCAGGGTACATGTTGGGGGGAAAGAAAGGGAAAGCCTTGGGCATGTCTTTCCAAAATGCAGGGATGAGAAAAATGCAAGGAGACAATCGAAAAGATCCTGATAGCAAGGGGGGGTTGGGGAAGGAGAACCAGCAAGGGCTGAGGTTTCAGAAGTCTAATCCTTGGCGGGCTGAGCTGAGGAAGCGCTTGATAAAGTACGAGAAACAGGAGGACATTGATGGCTTGCCGGATGCGGAGCTCTTCCAAAAACTGGCCCTGCACGAGGCCAAAAAAACCAGCAGCTCCCACCTGATTGACCCGGGGGCTAAGGCTCAGCAATAGGGCTGCC